TCAGGATTATTAAAACATATATTTAATTAACTCTGGATATATATTTTAGTAACATACAACAATTGTACATCTTTGCTCGTTTCAATCCTAGGGTGTGACCTTGTAGGTTCTTGTAACGTTAACAGTAATTATTATAACAATTTAAATATTACATATAATGAGTGACATCTAGCAATATATCATTGTCACCTAAGTTACAAGAAAATATGATTCGACATATCATCTTGGTGATTACTCTTTTATGTATTACATCCTTATGTCCTTTATATCTAGAATAGGCACAAGTCTTGGAATAGTCACACTTGTATAGCCCATCTATTATTTCTTGATATCTAGAGTAGACTTTAATTAATGAATAGTTTATGATATCTCATATCAACTTATTCGAGCATGGCCATGCGTTTCTAGTCTTACTCAATCAAGTGGCCTGTGACATATATTTCCTATTATGTAGGAAGGAAAAATCCTATCTTAATCATACACACCCACTACATATATTGAGATATATTCAATAACAGTCTTTATAGAGCAACCAGTTACAGAGGTTGTTTAGCTGTATCAAAACATACAACAAGATATGTTGGGATAGTATTGATCTCAAGTCTTAGGATCATACATATAGTCATCACCATGAGCAATGTTATGACTGTCACATAATAATCCAAGACATATGCTCAAGGTCGGTAAATCCAATATATTGTTCTCTAACAATATAATCATGTATCAATTCTGACATCTCTATGTCAATAATAACTCATTGTCATCAATCAATAACATGTTAGTCTTAAGCGTATTATTATTGTCCATGCCCATAATAATACTTGACTAGGGATCTTTTAATAATAACAATTATGTCATTATATGGACTTTATTATCTTTCAGTTTATGTTAAACACATATATATAAATGAAAATAATAGCGGCAATGCCTTTATTCAATAAAATCGGTAAATAAAAGTATTATTACAATCATCATATGATTGGTCTTTGGGCATACTCTAACAGGAAGAGGCTATGGATGGATAGGATATTACAATGAAGTCAGTGATGGAGTACATGGTTAATTTCTGGGAGCATTTTGATTCTTTTGTAGGGTACATTAATGACCGAATCGGGAAATATGAACCGATATTTCATCGTTGTGTGATGAAGTCTCCAACTTGCGTAACGAATTCCTTCAACAACATCATACGAGTTAGGTATTTCATTCTTTATGTTTTAAATATTTACATGTTTTAAAATTTATTTTCTTTTCTTATAACATCGGTGGAGAAGGCGGTGGGCAATCAAGTGTTGAATGAAGATTATGACATTACAGATGATGATGATGAGGATGAAGATCCAAACAAATATATGGTGTGTGCAACACCACCGGCAAGGAAACTTGTCATCTTTTATGTCAATGTAGTCTTTGCCTACTTTTCAAAAAATACCAAAGGTTTTAAATGTGTTTTATTTCTATACATTATTTAACCTATAAATGTACTATTCTAATGTAATTTTTCATGTTGTAGATGTTATACTGAGACCAGGTGTATATGAATTTCTTCATTTTTGTTTAGAAAACTTAGTTGTTGCCATTTGGTCTTTGAAGTTGAGGTAAGCACAGTTAAGATATTGAATTACTATAGATAAATGGATAATTTACAACTGGATATTTGTCGTGATAATTGTTAACAATTTCAAGCATAACATTGATCGTGCACTTGACCAACTACCTTTATTATCTAACCAATTTATACTCATTTGGGTAAGATGCATGTTTTTTGCGTTGCTTACTTTTATTTGTTTATGATTCCTACAAATTTATGTTTGAATATTTCTATAAACAAGATCAAGGAAAGTGCAAAAAAAAAAAAGATGAAGTAACCTACTATAAAAATATGCAAGATATTTGGAATGCATATTCTGAATACAACTCGTGAAATACAGTGTTGGTGGATGATTCAGCAGAAAAATGATTTATAATTCAGTAAGATATATATTTGCCATATGTTTTTTTTTTGTTAAGTTATATGTTGATACATTTGTTCATTCACAATTTATGTATTTATATATCAATACAGTTACATATGTCCACATCCCTTTGACGATTCATCTTTAAACGAAAATGCTTTAAGTATGACACAAATTTATGCCCACTTATGCGAAATTGATTTATTATAACATTATTAAACATGTTTGGTTTTCTAATTTCAATTATTTATATATGTCCTCAGAAAAAGGCGGAAACATATGCGAGTATTTGGAAAATTTGGCGAAGGCGCATAATGTTCCGGACTTTTTCAGAAATAACCTTTTTTCTTCAGTTTAATTTCTTTGTGTGTGTACAATTAGAACATGCTTAATTTATTTATTGATGACATGATTGTTGTGTATAACATTGTTTTGTATGTTTGACTTAGTTATATTGTGTGTATAGTTTTTTATCCATAAACATAATGCATTATTTTCAATTTTAATGTACTTAAACATATCAAACAATAACTGTATATCAAACATTTTAATAGTCCTATACACAATACAACATGTGACTTACACAGTAAAGATTTCATTCTGACAAGGCACTGTAAAGAATCAATTATAAGATGAGACTTTCTCGACTTTTCTTTCATTCGCGTGTAAATTGTTAATTTATCTATTACTTTAAAGTAATAGGTTTCGAAATTATAAGTATCAATACTTTATATATGTGTATCGATACATTTTGCGTACAAATTGTTTGAGAAACATAATGGAATAAAAATATACGTACCTATATAAAAGTATCGATACTTGGTATTTGAACCTATTTTCAATATACCAGATTGAATTCATTTCATCCAACTCATGAAGATAGGATAACCGAAAACAGAAATCGTGTAAGAGAAACATACCTAAAGGAGACTGATTATTTGCTTGTGTAAATACCAAGTATCGATAATTTTATATAGGTATGGATACTTTTATTCCAGTATGCTTCTCAAACAATTTGCACGCAAAATGTATCGATACACATATATAAAGTATCGGTACTTGGAGTTTTGAAACCTATTACTTTAAAGTAATAGGTTAATTAACAATATAAACGTTAAAAGTCTACTGATATATTGATAATTGGCTAAATACCAAGTATCGATATTTTTATATAGGTATGAATACTTTTTATTCCAATATGCTTCTCAAACAATTTGCATGCAAAATGTATCGATACACATATATAAAGTATCGATACTTATAATTTCGAAACCTATTACTTTAAAGTAATAGGTAAATTAACAATGTACTTGGTAAACATGTTTCTACCGGTATAATGAAAATTGGCATAAATGTCCAAGTATCGATACTTATATACAAAGTATCGATACTTATAATTTTGAAATCTATTACTTTAAACGAATAGGTAAATTAAGAATGTACACGGTAAACGTTTCTATGGGTATAATAAAAATAGGCGTAAATGTCCTAGTATCGATACTCATATATAAAGTATCGATACTTATAATTTCGAAACCTATTATTTTAAAGTAATAGGTAAATTAGCAATGTACACGGTAAACATTTCTACTAGTATAATGAAAATAGGAGTAAATGTACAAGTATCGATACTTATAATTTCGAAACATGTTACTTTAAAGTAATAGGTAAATTAATAATGTACATTGTAATATATATGTTGATAATATTGAAAACAAATTAAGTAATTAACTTATTTTGTTATCGTCGGATTTCTAAGGCCCCATCAGCTTTAAACAGACGCTACCTATTACATTAAATAAACGCTACTTGTTATGTTATTATGGTTGATAATGTTTCCAATATTTAACCTATTTTGTTATTATCGAATTTCTAAGACTCAATCAGCTTAAACTTTGGTAACATTTTAGACGCTACCTAATATGTTGATAATATTGATAACAAATTAAGTAATTAACATATTTTGTTATCGTCGAATTTCTAAGGTCCCATCAGTTTTAAAAAGGCGCTAGTTATTACGTTAAATAAGCGCTACATGTTATGTTATTATGGTTGATAATGTTTTCAGTAATTAACCGATTATGTTAAAGTCAAATATTTTGGCGCATTTTACAAATAACAATGATGTTACTGGTTATTACCATTATTATTACCAACACAAATAATATTTTCGCTAAAAACATATAACATTTAAGGAACCGGTCACCTATTTAACCAGTCATGCTATTTTTTATCCGTATTTTAACTGCCCCAAAGTAGAACCTCCCATCAAATTCAAGAACAAAACAGAAAGAAAAAGAGAGTTGATGGTATTCAAGAACCATGCCGAATTCAGCTATGGTCGTTTCAAAGCTACAAAGCAGACGCTACTGTTTCATACTCGCAAAATCTGTTCCCCAACCATCAGACAAGAAAACCGTAGCAGATTTTACAGTCGTACAACACGGTGAAAAAATCAATTATGTATTATTTGTGAAATGCAATTATTGGATTTTCTTGATTTCTTTCAGATCGATAACGATGGGAAACGAATCTAAGGTACAAAAAACCTACTCGGTTGTCGGTTCCACAAATACCCAGCTACACCATTTACTTGAAAATTCCAACTAGCAAGCAGAGGTTCATTGCTTCGTGGGTTACTTGGTTGTCTGTTGCATGATGAAATGACATCGCTTACTCAACATGACTTTTCTTTCACTTTCTAAATGTGTAAGCAATGACTAATATATCATTTTTTATTGATTTCAACAAACTTGGAAGTTGGAATGAGTAGGGTAAGTTTTAATGCATTAAATGTGACCATCATGCCGACATCCTATGAACCGACCCTATATCTTGTACTGGTTAAATTTATGATTGTTTAGAATTTAAAATGAATCTCTTCATTGATAATTGTTTTAAGTTAATGCTTAATATAGTACAAATCCAAGTTCAGGGGCTGATGATTTTCCCTTTCTTTTTTTTACTGTGAAATGATGTACTGCATGATGAAAACACGGCTCAACGAATCCAGCGAGGCCGAGCCATTGTTGCATGCAGGTTGCCGCTGTATACCGCGTTTAAAAAGAGACCCACCAGTTTCCGAGAAAGCATGGAAAAATATATGTACAATATCAAAGATGGCATTAAATGATAGTTTGGCTCCAACCATATGAAATGCCCCCATAATGTCTCTCCGAAATTTCACATATGCTTTCCAGTTTCAAAAGAGACCCACAAGTTTCCGAGAAAACATGGAAATATGTGTAGAATATCAAAGATTCCTCTCAGAGTTACCGAAAAGAGACCCCAATCGAAATGTCGCCGAGTTCGATGAAAATGTTGAAGAAACAAATATACCAAAGGATGTGAAAGAAGGTCATTTTGCGGTGATTGCAGTCAATGATGGGAAATCAAAGAGATTTATCTTGGAACTGAGTTATCTGAGGAATCCAGCGTTTTTGATGTTACTAAAGCAAGCAAAAGAGGAATATGGATTCCAACAAATGGGAGCTTTAACACTCCCTTGTCACCCTGAAGAGTTGCAGAAGATCTTAGAACACTAAATAAAGAGAACTACTACTAGCCTCTAGGTGGAGTTTAAGCTAATGTTACCTTTTTTTCCTCCTTTGAATTCCTGCTAATCAATTCAAATGCTTAGATAAAATGGTTCTAACAATTCAACAATGAAGACGGTTTTTGCTTTTCCCTACATGTAAAGTTATACACTATTACAACTTCAGCAGAAACATAAACATACACCAGAGTTTCAGTGTATTGATCTTTGTATTCATATATCTGCCAATATTTATACATAGAAACAATGTCATTCTATGAGATATAAATATTCCAGAAATGTGTTCAAAGTACACATTGCAAAAAAGATCCCATGGAAGGTTTTCTAGATCAGAAGTTGATGTCTTTTTATCCTCTCCCCCCCCCCCCCCAAAATGCAGATATAAATACAATAGGTGATCGGGTTCATCCTTCAAGATTGTTAAATATACATCCAACAAGCCTAAGGATACATACATGAGGACAAGATATGAGATTCGTAACATGGTTCATATATTGTTTTCTAAATTTCTAATGCTACACAAATTTCATTTCTTCAATTCAAAGTGAGAAACATTACATGATTGGTAGAGAGAATAGGTATCGATCTAGCGAAAAAGAGAAAATCATATTCATTTAGCACTAGGTTTATAATAGTACATAATGTATATATTCATTGACCTATAAAAAGTCAGTTGCCGAAGATTATTCACCAAGTGGAATGGAAAGAAAAACATAAGGAACAAATCATTCTTGTAGTACTGATATAGTGCTATTTTACCTCGGAGCAATTACTTGGCCCCACAGGTTCTCTTAAGCAATTGGATATTGCCATGACAGCAGCTTCAATAGATGCATCTTCCCCCTGTTCCAGCCGAAATAACTCGGAATTACTTTACAGGGTAAAAATTGCATAAACTGAACATTACAGGCGCAAACTGTGATTTATCATGGATGAACAAATAAACTTTACCTTCTCTTTCCAGTAAAACATATTTCCGTATTTCCCTGCCAAACGGCTCCAAAAGCTTCGGGGAATGTCTAAGTCAACTGTAGCCCCAACATTGAAATTTAATATATTGCCTGGTCCAAAATCCATATATAATTAAAAACACTCATATATCATATCACTGTCTAAGGAAAATGACAGCCAAGTTCTTTACCAAATGTGGGATCAGCAACAAAAACTATAGTGCTATCATCTACTTGCCAAAAGTCTTTGATTGCCAATCCTGTAGCAATTTGAGAAGTTAAGTAAATTTGAACTTTGCAAACAACTTCAAGAATTAAAAATAGAAATAACTCAAGTTTTGAAGAGAAAATCTTTTCTTTTTCAGTGAGGCCAATGACAGAAAAATATATTACTCATACCTGGCGTGTCAGGGTAATTTTGGGCCAAAACTCTCAATTTAAAGCCGGTATCCTTTTCAATATCACTGATCTCCTGAGCGAGTCTTTTCTCCTGGCATTTAACAGCCCAGCATTAGTATTAATCTGCTGTTCGTAGAAGGCAGTAGCATTATTTGCCATTAGTTGTATTTGGTTCCACAGCAAGGCTTTGGCTTGCTCTTTTTTTTCCTTCTTTTTTGTGTTCAGCATTAGGCTAATATTATTAAAAGAAAATAAAAGAGGCATAAACACTTCCAAAATGATTACAACTCAAAATAGATTCCATATTACAACATGAAACAAAGTCATAAACAGACAAATATCTATATATCCTTCAAAACAAAAGGATGCCATATCTTAACAAAGGACATCGGCATTAACAGGCACCTTTTCAGCAATCACCTCAGATGTGAAGTCACAAACTTTCATCAAGTTTCGAGTTACAGAAGATAGGATGAAAAATAATAATATTTTTGTTACTCACGTTTCTTGAAAATAGTAGTTCTACTTGTTACACCATGACTTCATAATCAATAAGGAAACGAGAAATGTGGAAAACATACTCAAGCCCCTTTTTATGTTACCTTAGAACATGAGAGCTAAAACTATGTGTAACGAGGGTCAAAGCATGGAATTAAGCATCAAACTAGATATGAGTATTGGTCAATTAACATGGAAGGGGCAATGTACTCTATTCATATAAATTATCTCATGGAAAAATAAATCAACTAAATTTGTTCATAGCAAACAAGTTCTAGGAAGAAAATCATCAAATAAACACATTTGATATTGGAACATTTTCAAAATAGGGTTACATTTATGTGATGGTCAAATGTCATGACCTTAAAAAGACATGATTATTTACTGAACTGTTGTCGAAACATGGAATCATGTCGATAGAAACATACTTCTGTTTGCAAACTTGTATCTATACAAAGAGGCATCCATTTTAGCAGTTATCTCTATAAGAAAAGATATCTTTTTTGGACAATAAATATTTCCTTACATATAAAACTCTTCTCATTTATGCAAGACACAAAGAAATGCCTATGAGTTCTGTATCACCAAATTAGATAATTCTATTTTTACAGTGTGGAATGTTTAGTTGGTTGATTTCATCAATGCAAAACATAAAGATTCACTGAATTTCATTGTATTCTTGAGGTTTATATGCATATAATTCTTTTTTTAGGGGAGAGTGGAAACAGGATGGACTCAAAGGGGACAGGCAATGGAAGTCGCCCCTCCTGAAAATCTCAAATTTTCATATATTTGAAATTTTTTATATTTTTTTAATTGATAATCTGTTTTGGCATCTAACATTTTATAAGTTCACTCCTCCTAAAAGTTTATAAATTCATCCTCCTACTATAACATAAAATATTGGGTACGTCCAGAGTGAAAATATTGAAAGAAATCAAACCTGGCCATCAGAGAGGAAGCCTGCTACATCAATCACCGGAGTGAAGTTTCTAGGAAGTAATTCCGGCTTGTTAACCCCAACTTTTGCCTCCGCCAACCCAGCCCCTAAAACAATAGCTTCATAATTAAGCACCATTTTGCATGAATAAGCTAAAGCAATACCAGAAAGAAGAAAAACATCACAGTTGCATGATGTAAAGATTATATAGCTCTTCGTACTTAAGAGCACAATCAATATTACAATGAAAGCACCCAAACCCTGATTCAATGCAGGCTAATTTGACTTGCCTGTTACGGATAAAGTGAGAGCAATAGCACCAGAGAAGACCCAATTCAAGGACTTGGCGCTAAAATCTGGGACCCAATTTCGGAAACCGGTTGGGTTTAAGCTGTGAGTGGTTGGCAGAGAGAGACGAGATGATGCTCTAATGGGCAATGAAAAAGTGGGAATTGGGGTTGTTCTGAAACATGATGATGGGAATTGCGTAAACGACATTGGCCTTTTGTTTTAGTTTTTGCTGCTGTTGCAAGGATAGGATCCAAAGAGCTTCCTTATAGTTCTTCACCAAGGTACGTGTCAGCGTTTTAAACTGTGTGAAGTCTGGAATTTATGAGGAATATTAACCCAGATTTGTGTCTATCAAATCCCACAATTTCACCGGGATTGTCAAAGGAATGTGAAACTAATAAAAATTTTAAAAACGATATAATCTGAAATTTTAAAAAAGAACATTAATAAAATCGATTTAACGTGATTGTAAATATTAACTTAAATAATGTATTAGATTGTAATCATTTTAAAATAATTTAAAATGACTGGAGAAACTTATCTTATCTGTAAATATTGATATTTTTACACAAATATCAGCATTTTTTAAATTTTAAAACATAGAAAATGAGAAGGTCGAAAAAGAGAAGGTCACAAAATATTGATACTTTTTTAAAAATATTGATACTCTTTTAAAAATATCAATACTTTCAATTAAAAAAAAAAGAAATGAGAAAACTATAAATATCAATACTTTTTTACAAATATCAATAATTTCAAATTAAAAAAATAAAAAATGAAAATGTTATAAAGTATCGAATTTTTCTACAAATATCAAAGCATAAATATCAAAGCAAAGAATCGATGTAAATGAAAAATGATCTAACATCATTATAAATGTAATTGATACTTTAACTATTGATAATCTTCATCAACATTTTCAATATATAAAAGCATTGATCGGCATTACATAAATAATGATATTTTAAATTTTGATATTTTCATCAATTGTTTCAATATTTAAAAGTATCATTATCACATAAATATTGCTATTTTAACTTTTGATTTTATCTTCAATTTTTTTAATATTTAAAAGTATCAATCATCATATATTAAGTATCAATAATTGACCTTTTGAACTATTTTTTTCTTGTTTTGATTCACCCTGAATAAATATTGGTACTTCTTCAGAGATAACATTCTTGAGTGTAACTAGATTTATTATAGATATTCATAACATTTTTAGCTTTTAACATATTTTTTTAAAGCTAAAGTAACATTTTAGGCGTAACCAAATTTATTACACAAAATATTAACATTCCATATTACAACCTACTTTATTAGCGATCGATAACATTCATAAGCGCAACCTAATTTTTTATAAATATTCATAACATTTTAGTTTTGCACTACCTCCATCCGATCACCAGAATGTGTAGGTTCCCCGGAGCCATACACCCACCTGTACACCCAATAAAGCTTACCCTGTGCACAAAGCAGAGGAGCCTACAGTAAGGACTTACCCTGAGCACAAAACCGAGGAGCGGTAAGGTCTCACCCTTGCACATAGCATATGAGCCTTCAGAAAACGGTAAGGTCTCACCCTTGCACACAGTAGATGAGCCTTCAGAAATGGTAAGGTCTCACCCTTGCACACAGCAGAGGAGCCTTCAGAAACTTCCTCCAACAATACCTCTAATGATAGTAATAAACATGTATGTATTCTAGTGAAAAGGGTAATTAATCCATTAAGACATGAAAATGTTTCATTCTTGGAAATCATATAAAGAAATACGGTAATCAAAAATCAAATCAATAATATACGGTAAATAAGCGGTATTCAGAAATCAGGTATTATGTCCTAAAAATATTCAGAATTATCACAAATCTGAAACAATTCAAATAGGTAGTTTAAAACAGTAATGTAACACTATCAGGAAACACACTTGTATCGATCTGAGCAGTTTGATAGGGAAGCCTACCACTGAGTTTGTCGATCACGATCAGCGGCAGCGCTAGATTCTACGAATCGAAAAATCCATATCGAAATCCTAATATGAATATTATTAACTTTTATTTAAATAATTTACGGAAACCTACGGATAACTCTCGTAGAACGCGGATCGAGCGAAATTGACGAACGGGAACCACCGGACCTAACTAACCCTCGATCGGGTGAAACACGAGTAGCTTCATAAAATATCTTCTTTGATCAATTCCATAACTAAATCTCAATTAAATAAGCCAGAAAAACTAAAAATAATAAGCATTTTCAGGTTAACGGGCTCAGTTCGGGGTTTTCGGATCAAAATTTGGAAAAATAGACTTCGGAATCGGACTCAGGATGTTAAAAACATAAAATATGATTTTTCAAAAATTTTGACTTTTTTGTCAAAGTCAACGGTCAATGGTCGGTCAAAGGTCAACGTTGGACCGGGTCAGATCGGGTCAGATAGGTGGGTCGAATTAGTGGGTCGAGTCGGATCGACCCATTCCAAGCAGTCCACCAGGCGGTGGACTTTCCCCACATGCGGGGGCGGCTCATGGGGGCGCGTACGGGCTGTAAGGGGTTGGAAAATTTCCACAAAAATTCGTAAATACGTTTTAAGGGGTTTTGAAACACTTAACAAGCTCAGTTCACAACGGTGATCGACGGATAGCTCTATTCCAAAATGTCAAAAACTTGATATTCCTCAACCCCTCACACGGTTGACTCAGGACGACGCAAGGAAAACGATGGTACGAGAGGTATCGAAAATGAAGCAACGGTCGGTGACGAACCGACGATCAAATCTTTCCTTCTATAAAAGGAAAATATTGAAAAGAGAAACAAAAAATAATTAAGATTTCCCCCAGATTTCGGGTTATATAAACCCTTAAAAAGGAAGATGGCAAAATCATGATATAGGTCATTCATCTTTAATTACTTTTTGAATTTAGATCCAAATTTAATCAAAATTCAATTTAGTCCTCGATAATTTTTTAAGAGAATTTTAGGTCCTATTTTGGGGTGTGACAAATTTTGACCCAGACTTGGAGGACCAAATGGGGGATTTTACCATTTTTATTTTCAAAAGTTGAATACCCATTAAGAAAGGGTGATCTCACATCTACACTCTCATTTCTCTTTTTCATAATTCTCTTTGTCTTCTTCTTCCCTAAAACCCCTCTCAGTTTCCCTTATAACTTGCTCAAAGGTGGGAAATTTATCTACAAAAATCCTAATATATTCAAACAAAGGTAAGAATCAGAACCTCTAACTCCAAGGCTTCAATTCAAGCCTTCAATCTATTATTTCCATCAGGATTTCTGAAATATGGGTTTAGTGGGGGTTTTAGAAAACCATAGCAAACCAGCTTGATCTTTAAAGATTTAATCTTTAAGAGATGTTCTAAATTCCTTCCTAAGCTTCTCAACAACGTTAGTAATCTATATGTTTTTTTTCTTAGAAAGAGAAGTGCGAGAAAACTCCAAAGCTAAAGGAAAGGAGAAACTAACCCTTGGTTGAGTCTTTGGGAGTTCTCAGTACCTTAGGACATCAGGTAACTCACTTCTAACTCAACTCTACCACATGTAGATCACTAGGTGAGTTTTGGTAAGTTGCATGAGTTATTAAGCATGTTCATGGTTGAATTCAGAAATCAATGTTTTCCATAATGTTATGGACTATTTGTGATCCCTATATTCATACACAATACTTAAATGACATTTAGGAACCTCGATTGGACATTTGGGGTAGAAAGTTAGCATTATTGGTGCCCAAACAGGGTATTTCTTGGTATGGGTATCAGTACTGGAGGAACATTACTGATAACGTTCTTCAGATGTTAAAAAAATGGATTATAGGGATAGAAGTATTGATACTCCTTCAATGGGTATCAATATTGTAAATAGGGTATCGATGCTTGTAGGGTGGTATCGATACCGAGTTCACTTAGCAGATTCAAGTAGATAATTTTGGTATCGATACTCATGGGAGTATCAATACCAATATCAATACCCTACATATGGGTATTGATACTAAGGTATTTTCTTAAACATCGAACCTAATTTCAATATTGATACTCAGAACAGTATCGATACCCCAATATTAGAGTATCGATACTCAGTCAGTAGTATTGATACTTAGTCACTAGTATCAATGCTTCCCTTTCCAATCAGTATATAATTTTCTATGGTTATGATACCAAGTCATGGTTCAGTACCGATACTGAAGGGCCAGTATCATTGCCAGAGGATAATTTTTAATAAGTAATCCAATCATTAAGGGATTTTACATAAATGACCCAATAACATCATAATATCAGCAAATAAAACTACAAGTGAGAACAATAATAAGCTCAGAACAACTAGAAATAGCAACATGTAAGATAACATAAAACTAGCCTTGTTTGACGCTCGGGAAATAGTCAGGACACCCGAGTCTCTTTAGTAGAATACGATAGTCATTTAAATATCCAGTAAGTACCAAGGCACTTCAGTTTCCAGTTGAGCGCAAATGCCCCAAGACTCGACGAAGTAAGTTGATCGGGTGTATGTTTCCAATACAGCTCTGGATCTCACCTAAAATACACACCGGTATTTTAGATAGGCTAGATAAGTGTGTCAACTCTAAGAAGCATAACCCTCAGTCACACCATGATGCCTATATTAGCATGTTAGATTAGTAGTTCTCATCTCTTTATAATTGTGGCATTAGCATTCATATTTAGTGAATGCATGTATCATAGTATTGTTATTAGTGAGGTACTGAGCTCGTAAGTTCGTTGTTTGAAATGTGCTTTTGTGCACAGGTTCATAGGAGACCAGTCGAAGAGCATTATCCTCATCAATAGTTCCAGCATAGAAGTGACACCAAACTATGTCTTGATTTAGTTTAGAGGGCATGTACTATTGTAGACCCTATTTATGTAAGATGTAACTATATTTTGATTTTGAACTCAGTATGTTTATTTTGAATGATTTGGGATCTCCCCATATTTAAACTTATATTTACCACATTTTATTATATTTTTTCTTGAGATGGATTTCATACAATTGTTTTAAAGAAATTTTTGGGTTAGCCACCTCGGTGGTCCCTTGTGACATCATGATTCAGTGAACTTCGGGCCAAGTTGGATTAGGGTGTTACAAATTTTTTTCATGATTCTTAAGTTTTCTAGAAACATAAGCCATGACTTTTACTTTTTGTATTAATATGAATCCCAAACCATTATGAAATGCATCGTTATAAAACACATAATACTTATAAAATGTATAATTTATCACAATTCC